GGCTTATTGGGTCCTCACGGCGGGCTCTTGGGGCCTCTTGAAGGCCTCCTGGGGCAACCTATGGCGCAACCAGTAGGGGGACGTTTTATTCTCGGCGGCCGAGGGCGCAACCTATGACGCAACCAATAGGGGGGCGTTTTATTCTCGGCGGCCGAGGGCGCAACATATGGCGCAACCGCAAGGGATTCTGGCCCCTGGCAGGCGCGCGAACCCCGTTGCAAGAGCGTGCGAAAGTAGCTCGCGCGAGCTCATGTAACATAAATGTTGGAAAACCATTGGTTTTTTTAGGATTCGGACAGCGCGCGCGGGTGGAAATTTTGAAAAGTCGTGCAGGTGTTTTTCGAGGACCTACGGTGCGATTCGTGTGATTTTATGATGCGCGGTGCTAAAATTCTTAAGAACCCAATGGTTTTTGGAGATTTCGGCGTGCGCGCGCGAAGAAAAAACGAATGTGTCCCGCATGGTATTATTTGACAGGGATGATGGCCCTGGCAGGTGCGCAACCGTTGTCGCAGAAGTTCGAAAAAGTTGCTCGCAAAAGCCCGTTTGACAGAAATGTTTAAAAAGTGTTGGGTTTCCTACGAATCCGCAAGAGCGCGCGGGATGAGATTTTGACATTTTTTGTTGAAAAACCATTGGTTTTTTGATGTTTTTATGTTAAAATCGCTCCGAACACTAAGCTTTTGGAAGGATTTCGTCTTGCGCGCGCGAATGTCCACTTTACCTTATTTTTTGCAAGGGATTCTTGAAATTTGATTATATTAGAACAAGAAATGTCATTTTATAGTGTTTTTTGCAAGGGAAAGCGGGGGGGAACAAAACAACCGGATCTTGATCACATCGAATTACCTGAGGCTTCCTCACGAAAATGATGAAAATGTAGCTGCGGCCTAGGCGGCGCAGGGGGGCCGTGCACCAGGGGTCCCAACAATAATTATTCTTTAGAATTAATAATGTTCAACAACAACAACAACAACAACAACAACAACAACAACAACAACAACAACAACAACAACAACAACAACGGCCGTCGTCGCGCCGGCTGACCTCCTCATGTGCCACCGGAGCACTCTGAGTGTAGGCGCTGCGTGCTCGCAAGCGCTGGCTCGGCGCCCAGTTCTGCGAGGCGCACGGCGGCGCGCCGCCTCGATCTCAGCGGCAGGAGAGCCACCGGGATGGCGACGTCTCTGAAGGGGCCCCAGGACACACAAATAAATACACACACAAATAAAATGATTCCCCATATTTTCCCATATGTTCTGGGTTTCTGTCTTCCCCCCCACTTCCCATATTTTCCTATATTTTCTCGGGAATCGACGATTAATTGTGTCTGTGTGTTTTTTTCCCTCCTGAGCCTCTCTTTCGGAGGCTGGGCTTTCTGGCTCGTGGGCCGGTGGGGAGCCCTGTGCCGCTGGGCGGTGCCGGGTCTCCCCCTCCAACCTGCGCGGCCGGAAGCGCTCTGCCCTGCCCGCTCGGAGAAGGCCTGTCCTCCTCCCTCTCCGCCCCCCTGCCGTCCCACGCCGTCCCCCCCCCGTCCTCCTCCCCTTGCTCATGCTCCGTCCTCCTCCTCCTCCTCCTCCTCCTCCTCCTCCTCCTCCTCCTCCTCCTCCTCCTGCTCCTCCTTCCTCCTCCTCCTCCTCCTCCTCTTCCTCCGTCCTCCTCCTCCGTCCTCCTCCTCCTCCTCCTCCTCCTTCAAACTTCCGCAGCCTTTGCACGAAGTGCGAAGCGCCGTGAAGCACAGCAAAAACTCTCCTGCAACAAGCCCTCATCCTCCTCACCCTTCAGCGGCCCGCGAGCCGCCGTGGGCCCCGCCCGCGGCTGCTCCAGCGGCGTGGCCGCCGGCGCCACGGCTGGCGGCGCCGTGGCCAGCGGTGCCGCGAGGGACGGCGCAGCCTGCGCGGCGGCGCGAGCGGGGGCTCCCTGGAAGAGCCTCCCTCCCTCCTCCCTCCTCCCTCCTCCCTCCTCCCCTCGTCCCTCCCCCTCCTCCTTCTCCTCCTTCTCCTCCTCCCTCCTCTCTCCTCCTCTGCTCCTCCTCCTCCTCCTCCTCCTCCTCCTCCTCCTGCTCCCCCTGCTTATCATCAGAATCGTCATGGTTGCCTTCATCCTCGTCATCATCACAGCTTATCATCATCATCATCATCATCATCATCATCATCATCATCATCATCATCATCATCATCATCATCATCATCATCATCATCATCATCATCATCCTCGTCATCATCATCATCATCACCACCACCACCACCACCATCACCACCACCACCACCACCACCACCATCATCATCATCATCATCATCATCATCATCATCATCATCATAATCATCATCGTCGTCATCATCATCATCATAGTCAGCATCATCATCACATTTATCATCATCATCATCATCATCATCAGCATCATCATCAGCGTCAGCACCAGCATCGACAGCAGCATCATCATCATTATCATCATCATCATCATCAGCAGCAGCAGCATCATACTCATCATCATGATCATCATCGTCATCATCATGAGCATCATCATACTCATCCTCATCCTCATCCTCATCCTCATCCTCCTCATCATCATCATCATCATCATCATCATCGTCATCACAATCATCACAATCATCACCGTCACTATCACCATCATGATCATCATTATCATCATCAGCACCACCACAACCACAACCATAAATCCTCACCACGATCGTTAGCACCAGCATCATTAGCAGTATCAGCATCATCATCATCATCATCATCATCATCATCATCATCATCATCATCATCATCGTCGTAATCATCATCATCATCATCATCATCATCATCATCATCATCATCATTGTCATCATCGTCATCATCACCATCATCACCATCATCCTCCTCCTCGTCCTCCTTCTCCTCCTCCTCAACATCATCACCAACATCAGCATCATCATCAGCATCATCAGCATCGCCGTCATCGTCGCCGTCATCATCGCCATCATCAATATCAGCATCACCATCACCATCACCACTAGCACCATCGCTATCTTCATCATCGTCATCATCATCATCATCGACATCATGGACAGCATCGTCATCATCAAAACCACGATCATCATCGTCATCATCATCATCATCATCATCATCATCATCATCCTTGCCTTCACCTTCCTGTCAAGACGTTTTCAGGTCGACGGGGGGGAAATGATCGACAATTTTGTCAGACGCATCGTCGTCAGCATCATCAACATCATATCCATACTCATAAACATAATCATCATCATCATCATCTTAATCACCACCTCACCAACCAACATCAATCAATCAATCAAAAAATCAACCAACCAACCAACCAACCAACCAACCAACCAACCATCATCATCATCATCATCATCATCATCAGCAGCATTAGAACCACCATCATCACCCAGCATCCCCTTCCATTAAAATCATCATCATAATCAGCAGCATCATCACCACCACCATAACCACCACCACCACCATCATCGTCATCGTCATCGTCATCATCACCAGCAGCAGCATCATCATCGACATCATCAGCATCGTCATCATCCTCATGGGCTTCATCATCACCAGGCTCGTGGGCATCATGAACGCCACCACCATCATCATCATCATCATCATCATCATCATCATCATCATCATCGTCATCGTCGGCAGCAGCAGCGCCATCATCAGCATCATCATCTCCATCATCATCTCCATCATCAACAGCAACACCATCACCACCATCATCATCAGCATCATCATCACCATCACCGTCACCATCACCATCATCACCATCATCATCATCATCACAGCTCAGCATCATCATCAGCATCATAATCATCATCATCACCATCATCATCAGAATCATCATCATCATCATCATCATCATCAGCATCATCATCATAATCACCAGCATCATCGTCATCATCATCATAATCATCATCAACACCAGCATCATCGTCATCATCATCATAATCATCATCATGGTCTTCATAATCAGCATCATCATATTTACCATCATCAGCAGCAGCATCACCATCATGATCATCAGCAGCATCAGCATCAGCATCATCTTCATCATCTTCATCATCTTCATCATCTTCATCCTCATCCTCATCATCATCCTCATCCTCCTACTCGTCCCCCTCCTCGTCCTTCTCCTCCTCATCCTCATCCTCATCCTCCCTTGCCCCCGTCTATCACAAAGCTGAATGTTGGCCAAGCAGGGGGGCAGCCTGGCCCGTCGTGATCCCTCGGATGTTTAGCTGGCAAAGGAGGCCTGCTGCGTGCAACGGACATCCTACAGGTTATCACGCGTGCAGAGGTCTTGTACAGTGATCAGGGGTTGTCTCTAGATTTGGCTTCGAAATGCGAGGCGGATCTCGAATGGGCTCAAAGGGATGAGGCGGGAGGGCACCAAGCGCAACCAACCCCAACCCCCACCTATCCTGACCCTGTGGCGGCTGCCTCTAAGGAATCCTGTTGGATAATGCTGAAGAGGGAACCCAGCCCTGGAGGGCTGGCAGTCACTGCCTGCTCGAGTCTTCGGTCACGGTCGGAGGTCACCCTGCGCTGGTGATCTGCACACCCCTGCATCCTTCTCCCGCCCCCTTCTCCCTACTCACTTCTCTCTCCCTCCTCCCGTCACCTCCGTCTTCATCCCGTTCACCCTCCCTCCTCGTCCTCCCACCTTAGATGAGGCTTGCCCCGTGGAGTCCCGTTCCCACCAGTTGGGAAGCTGGAAGTGCTCTCTCCCTGGCGGGTGCGGAGGCGGTGGCTCCGCTGCGCCAGCCGCCAGGAAAAAGACAGACGAGGGACAACGCTGCCGGATGTGGTGCCGTCAGGAAGCTCTCGTGCGTGGCAGAGTGGTCGCAAATTGTGTTTCCTCCTCGTCCCCCACCCACCCCTTCCTAGAATGAGGAGAAACAATGTACAGTAGGGGCCCGACCACAAGAAACCTTCCACAAGAAACCCAACCCTGAGACCCCAGGACTTCCACCGATGTTTGGCGTGGGCGCGTCACGTTTTCCATAGCAAAACAATCGAAACTCAAGGCACCCAGGGCACCCTGGAGGCAAGCAGGGTGTTTCTTGGCATGGGTCTCCACTGTGAACGTGAACTGTCGGAGGTCCGCGCTGAGCACCCTCACTGGCGCGCGGAGCGCGCTGGGCGCACGAGGACCCAGGGCAGGCCCAAGAAGTCCGCGCGAGTCTCCAGAGGCTGATGCTTATGCATTGCATGCGTTGTTCTCCCTTCGACCCCACCCTAGGCATGCGATGCCTTGATCGTTTTCATAGCGGGGTCGCCGAAAGTCCCGCTCACTTCCCCAGGGCAGGTGTTTCAGCCCGAACTGTTTTTGTTGACGGTCCCGAGGCCCGCCGAGGGCCGTCGGAGGCCGAAAGCGACGAGAAGCCTCCGCCGTGATATTGTTCACGGCGCGAGCATGTTTGGGTCGTCCTCCTCCTCCTCCTCCTCCACCTCCTCCTCCTCATCCCCTCCTCCTCCTCCTCCTCCTCCTCCTCCTCCTCCTCCTCCTCCTCTCCTCCTCCTCATCCCCACCCTCCTCCACCTCCTCCTCCTCTCCTCCTCTCCTCCTCCTCCTCCTCCTCCTCCTCCTCCTCCTCCTCCTCCTCCTCCTCCTCCTCCTCCTCTCCTCCTCCTCCTCCTCCTCCTCCTCCCTCCTCCTCCTCCTCCTCCTCCCGCCTCCGCCTCCGCCTCCGCCTCCTCCTCCTCCTCCTCCTCCTCCTCCTCCTCTCCTCCTCCTCCTCCTCCTCCTCCTCCTCCTCATCTCCACCCTCCTCCACCTCCTCCTCATATCCACCCTCCTCCTCCTCCTCCTCCTCCTCCTCCTCCTCCTCCTCGCCCTCACTTCCCCTCGCCCTGCCGCCGTCCCCCCCCCCGCACCCCGAGGCGATCGAGGAGGGGGGGACCTTCTGCAGCAGGGAGGCGTCGTCGGCGTCCTCGCCGGCCGAAGGCCGCCAGGTGCCCCCAGCATCCCCGGGGGGCGCCGCCTGGTGGAACACCGGGAGAGGGGGAGGGCCACCCTCCTCCTCCTCCTCCTCCTCCTCCTCCTCCTCCTCCTCCTCCTCCTCCTCCCCCTCCTCCTGCTCCGAGCGACGAGCACAGCAGACACACAGCTGCTGGTGCTCACGGGCGGCGGACGCACCCACATCCACGCCCTCGCGGCCCGGGCTCTGGGGCGCGATGCCGCGGAGGCGCGGTCGCAGGGCCTGCGCTCCGCGCGGGGCGTCCAAGAACGAAAACACGCCCCGTAGCCACGGGGTCGCGGCCCAGGGGCCAGGCACGCGAGGCCGTGGAGAAGGATTCTGCCCACGGGAGGTTGCGACTCCACCTTCCACACGGCAGGGGACCGTCTGTCTGCCCAGGGGACGCATGCAACGTGCTCTGATCAGACCGAACAAGAACTTGGGGCTCGCAAACACAGCAGTCACAACCGCGACGAGCGAGAACGTGCTGCGCAAACTCAGACGCTCCAAGTCCGATTGGAACAATAATAGGTAAGCCCGCAGCGTTCCTTAGTCCATTGCATGTATGTATTTGTACATACCTACATGCATGAACACATACATACATACATACATACATCCATACATCCATACATCCATACATCCATATATCCAGACATCGATCCATCCATCCATCCGTTCATACATACATGCATACATGCATACATACGTACATACGTACATACGTACATACGTACATACGTACATACGTACATACGTACATACGTACATACGTACATACGTACATACATACATACATACATACATGCATACATACATACATATATACATACATACATACATACATACATACATACATACATACATACATACATACATATATACATAGATACATACATACATACATACATACATTACATGGGTGAATGCATGCATACATGCATACATACATACACACACATACATACACACATACACACCTACACACCTACACACATACACACATGCACACATACACACATACACACACACATACACATACACACATACATACATACACACAAACACACATACATACATACATACATACATACATACATACATACATACATACATACATGCATGCGTACTTACATACATATATACATACATACATACATACATACATACAGGCAGGCAGACAGACAGACAGGCATGCATGCATGTATCCATCCATACATACATGTATTAATACATACACACATACATACATACATGCATGCATGCATGCATGCATGCATGCATACATACATATATGCATACAAGCATGCACACATACATACGAGCATGCATGCATGCATGCATACAGACAGACATGCACGCACGCATGTATACATGCATGCATTCATGCAGGCATACATACATATATACGTGCATACATGTGTACAGTCATGCATGCATGCATACATACATGGATTCGTCACATAACATTAAAGTGCGTTGCATTGCAGTACGTTACATTGCACTGTAGTGTGTTACAGTACAGCCCATTACATTACATTACATTGCAATACGACACATACATGAATACATACATACGTACATGCATGCATGAATGCACGCACATACACACACGCACATACATGCATGCACGCATGCGCCCACACATACATACATACACACATACACACATACACACATACATGCATACATACATGCATGCATCCCTACATACACACACATACGAGCAAGCACACATACATCCATCCATCCATACATCCATACATTCATACATACATACATACATACATATGGCTAAACATATAGTGCTGGTACGTTTGTGTATTCATATTTTTATACACCCCATACGTAGACATACACATTCATGTAAATGCATAGATGCATGTGTATATATATATACAGATACACAACTGTGTGCATGCCATCTCGGCCTGAACACCGAACACATCGATGACTAACCTTTTCGCTGCTGTTCAGCATCGGGAAACCGTTTTGAGGCCCAAGGCCGTCAAACATCGCCGCGTGAAAATGATTCAACCTTCGGGGCTGCGGAGGACGTTGTCGGACGGTGTCATGGGTTCCCAGAATTTTCCCAGGCTCGGGACGAAACAGCTACGCCTCGACGCGAGCGTTCCGAGAGTGCCCGAATCGTCCTAACGGCCGCCAGGGATCCAAGTTATACCACCTGAGATAAGGGTAGGCAACGAACGACGAGCGTATCTACTTTCATCCTTTTCGGCATCTGGATGCCGCTTCCAGGTCCCAGGACCCTCAGAAATCAAGCATGGATGAAGAACTGGCCCGTTCGGACCGCGGGAGGGGTCCCGATCCTGAGCCGATTTCATCGAGAATATCCACATGTCCCAGCAGGGCCCCAAGATGCCAAAATCCGCGAGATCAACTTAAGATTTTGAATCATCTTATCGTCATTGCCTTGTCTAGCTTCAGACTCTCCAAGACGGGCCCCCGAGATCGCTCCAAGACGGCGGAAGAGGCTCCCAAGAGGGCCTCAAGACGGCCCAAGAGGCCCAAAGATGATCCAGGGGACGCCAAAGAGGGCCCAAGGGGGGGAATCCGAACTGACAGGTCGAGCCTTTCCCCCATAGATGGCCCCTGAGATCGCCAGCAGGCCACCAAGATGCCCCCCCCAACAGGCACAATAGGCCTCCAAGATTCCCCCAATGTGCCCCAAAAGGCTCCCAAGAGGCTCCACAAATGCATCCAAAATGCACCCAAGAGGCTTGGCAAGAGATCCCACGAAGCCTCTATCGGTCGCAGTATGGGCCGAAGCATGTCAGTGTGCCGCGTCTTATGCGTATCCCCCATATGGGGCCACGAAACGTGTGAGAGGTGCGGGCGCTGCCATTGGTGCCTTAGGTGTAGCTCCCTATGGGGCCACGAAACGAGTGAGTGATGTGCCAAAGTGAGGGGGTGACGGGAGGAGGGAGGAGGCGGAGGAGGAGGAGGAGTAGGAGGAGGAGGAGGAGGAGAGAAGGAGGAGAGAAAGAGGAGGAGGAGGAGGAGAGAAGGAGGAGACGCGGGGATCTCTCTTCAAAACGAACACCCAACACCACAGGATGGTTGGGAAAAAACGCCTCCAAAACGGCTAGGATGGCCCATGATGGCCTCCAAGACGGCCGAGATGGCCCCAAGACAGCCCAATGTGCTGAGAATGGGGCTCCAAGAGGACTTCCAGGAGACCAACAGCATGATCTCCCTCCGGTGTTCCAATGAGTTTTAGCGGTCTCGACTTCTCGGGCCTCCGCCGCTCTCGGGCAGCCCCATGGGCCCCCTCAAAACACCAAGAGGCCCTTTCGAGGCCCGCAAGACAGCCCAAGAGGGCCCCAAGACGGCACAGGAGGCCCCCAACAGACCACCAAGGCGGCCCCGAAGCGCCCAAAGATGGACCCACGACTGCCCAGAGAGGCCCCCAAGGCGGCCTCCGAAGGCCAAGGGGTCCCGTAGTGGCCCCAAGAGGCCCCCAAGAGGCCCCGACCCCTGGAGGCACACCCCAAGAGGCTCCCAAGAAGCCCGCAGAAATCCACAAAACTGCATCAAGAGGCCTCCACCTTCTCCTCCTCCTCCTCCTCCTCCTCCTCCTCCTCCTCCTCCTCCTCCTCCTCCTGCTCCTCATCCTTCTTCTCATCCCTCTCATCCTCCTTTCTCTTGCTCTCCCAGTTGTTCCCCCAAGGGTTTCCACAACGAATGGGGGAGCACATGGTCCAATAGCCTGGCCAGACTTTGGCCCAAGGTGTGGCTGCATGGGCGTGTCCAAAAGACAAGGGGCTGGGGTTGGTTCGACGCAGGCAGCTTCGCTAAAAATTGAATGCGACAGCCGACCAAAAAGCAATGAGATTGCACAGTGGCAAGATGAACACCCCCTGAATCAGAACAAAGTTTTGGACGCCCGAAATGGGTACGGAAAGAATGGGAACAATGCCCCACAACAAATGTTGTCCCAAACCAGCAGCGGCCGCTGTTGGGCAGGCGGCCTTCTGTCTCAAATGGACATAGGCCGCGGCGGCGCGGACAGCGAGCCCTGTTCAAAATGAACAGGAACTGCTGTTGGGCATCGTACCCATTCTTTCCGTACCCATTTCGCTCGTGCCGAAAAGTGATGCCATGGTATGCGACCTGCAGGCCGGCGGCGGCGTGCCGAGGCGGGATGGATCGAAGGCCGCTGGATATAGTGATACCTGTAGGAACTTCGCAACAGAACGCCATAATAAAATCGGGCGTGTCCCCCTACAAGGGAATCTTCGACGAAAAAGAAAAAGTACTCAAAAAATACTCCCCAAATGGTCAAAAAATACTCAAACAATAGTTTCCGGGCTACTTTTTGACTAGTTTGGGATATTTCTCCTGTAGAGGAACGGGCCCGACTTCAGGCTATGGTATAACAACGCATCAAACTGAAGCGGTCACGGTATCAGCATCACGCTCTCACTGGCAGCGCGCAGGGCCACCGCGAAGGTGTGTTCAGAGGTGGCAACCATGACCGGCGTGCATGCCACAAACATGTGATACCACTCTTACACAAACCTCGATACCGCTCTTGCGAAGATCCATGACGACCAAGGTACCGCCTCATATGATCGATTGCTGCTGCGTCCGTCTGACTGGCCACACTGAAGCATACATCGAAGGTGTCACACCTACGCGGGCTGACAGCGCGATCCGACAACTGCGGCACAGTGTAGCCACCACCACCACTCATCAGATTGGGGCGGCTATTGCGCCCTCCCAGGCCGCACCGAGGACTACATCTATAGAGGTGACGGTTACCAATGCGCAGGCCGACCAAAAAAGCTGGACAATTCTGACACACTCTATTTTCGCTAGCGCCATAACGCCTCTTGCCGTCGCTCGGACGTGCATTTCCCGTGCATGTTTCGATTTCGTGCGTGTTTTTTCTGCTCGATGGTCCAGGATGGTCCTCGATGGTTCTCGCCGAGAAAAAATGCACACGTCCGAGCGATGCCAAGGCCTCAGACTGGGGCGGTCACTGCGTCCTTCTCACTGGC